TCTAGGCACCATATAGCTGAACTATAGCAAACATAGCTGAACTCCAGCAGGTGCTGCCGCTTTTTAATTTAACAGCAGCTTATCAGAGAAATCCTCTGAAAAGTTAGAGTATGACATTGCAATTGTTTACAAGACAACTCACTGTCAGACTGTGAACGGAACTTTTATTAGAAAAAGTAAATGGGGAGATGAAGAAGAAAAGACATCTGTTTACAACATGAATCAATTGTATTTACTTGTTTTCAAATAAATTCTCAGCTATAATTTCCTTTCAACTGTTCACGTCTCAGTAAAGTACTTTGAAGTGCCTGGATGCAGTAGTCATTTGATCCTTTTAATGGAAGGCAGTGGAAGTGTTTCTTTGTACACTCACACATACATTCAGTGCATGAGGATCTGTAAATGCTCCAATGCTACATCTGGACTGCTCTACATCTCTTATGTAAGAGTCCACTGCTTCTCAATTATTTTCTGCCAGGCCGCCCTCAGGACTTTCTTAAAAATATGCAACAGAAGTTTTTGTTAAACACGTGTAATAAGATGAAGCCTTTTGTGGTCTGACTTGTTCACAGTATTTTACTTTTTATGCACAAACTTGGGCATAACCAACATGCTTTATTAATGTAAGGGACATTTTAGGTACCCCAGCTTTAATTTAGTGAGTTTTAGATAATGACACGGGGGAAGTCTGGTAAACTTCCTGGGGCTTCCATAATGGTCGGCACTAGATCATATACGGAATCAGGACGAAACCGGAAGTAACAATCCTACTTTCAAATTAATTTTAGACTAATTCGTCCTTAAATGGTGACTGGTTAAGTTTTAGGTGTTTAAGATAAGATAAGATGAGCTTTATTTATCTCACAGAGGAGAAATTTACATGTCACATTTGGCATGGATAGAGACACTCAGATTGTGCAAAAGGAGGAAATGTGCAAACATGTTACATGCAGGATATATGTACAATAAAGTGACAATAATTATGTGCAACAAAAGTGACAAGTGTAAGATGGTTAAGTTTAGGGTTAAGGCTGGGTTGGGGTTATTTTATGGGAATGGCTGGTTAAGTTTAGGCATGAATAGGTAGTTTGTTATTTTTACTTCCGCTTCCGTCCTGATTCCGTTTATGATCAAGTGCTGACCCTTCCATAATCCAGGTCTGTTTCTTGCAGCTGTGCAATTGTTGCATGTCGAAATATACACTGTGGTTCTCTAGAATGCACATATGGCCAGTCCTCTGACTTTATCTATCCCTCTCTCCACTACGAAGGGAAAAGGCTCTGAACGAGTTTCCTCTCTCCGCATTTGAGTGACAGAGTTTACATCACACTGTGCCTCAATATCAAAATCCTTGATCTGATGAAAATAAAGTCCTCTTGGACTGCATTTTCTTTGTAAATGAGCATATTCTTCTTGTTATATTTCCTGTTCGACGTAACCTTAAACACAGGACACACAGAAGATGCATACCATCTGTCATTCACTACAACGGCCGCAATTTCTCCGATGGTCAGAGCAGAAACGGAGGACAAAGGTACATACAGCAAAAACGACATGTTCCCTGTTACGTGCCCTGGCCCGCCCCACTATTTGGGAAGTGCTGTATTAGTAATTCATTGAGTTTAACTAATTTCTGTGCATCAATATAAACGCAAATTATATACATTTATTTTTATCCTAAGGTAATTGATTGGCAGCGGACATTTACCTAGAGTAGTTTAGTTTTACTCATACACTAAAACCATTTGAGGTTTGGACGTAATGAGTGAGTGGATTGTGTTTGGCGTCTCACTTCTGTCACCACTAACTTACTCTGTCTTACTTTGTCGTTCTGGACAAAATACCTGTTAAAATAATACAATTGTTAGCTGTAATTTGAGGTGAGATTTTATTTTTCCTGTAAGCAAAACAATCCATTGGACTGGACCATCCAATTGAGTTATCTTTTGCTCCATTCACAATTAAACACAAGTAAAGATCTCTTAAAACACAGCGAGGAAAAGCATGAACTCTTAAACAGCTGGCTGTGTCCCCTGGGGGCCTTTGATTCCCCATCTCCTCCCACCTGCTCACTCCCTGCCCTCATTGAAGTGAAACCCGCACCCCTGATGTGTGCCTGGCTGTTCACATATGCAAATGTGTTGTTTTTCTATACATGTTTGAGTTGTTTTTTCTGTCCACTTCGTTTTAACGCTGAAGCTCCTGTGTGCGCCAGCTCTGAGCACGGACGGATGTTGCAGAGACGCATCAACCTCAGATGAAAGGACCTTTTTATGTACACAGCGGCACATTTAAATTGTATGAGGCGGTATTGTGATCTGACTTGGCATTGCAAATCTAATTGAAAATGGGAGATGAATGCCCGTTTTTGTTTTTAGTATAAAGCGGCAATGGAGGACACTGTCGACACCTTCCAAGCAACATGAGGACAGATACAGCACTAATGAAGACCAGGATAAAAACAACATTTTAAAAGTAAAACTGGTTAATACTTAGCCATCCATTCTGTATATTCTGCTCTGTGGAGGCTCTAGACTCTATTATACAACTGTAGTTTAGAAAATGTGAGTAAATGACAGGATTTATTGGAAGAGAAATAGTATGAGGCCGGACTTTCTATCTGAAGACTTATTTTATTTCACAGAATGTCCATGGAATTGTATGGAATCTTTCATAAATGAGTGAGATTGAGAATTGACCATAAACAGCAATAAGCATGCACTTCAGAAATATATATAGATTAGTTAAATATAAGTACAGTATGCTCCCAGCACTTCATATTTTAGGAGTTGACTGAGTTCTGATGTCACCCATTGTGTTTGCCAAGTGCAGAAAGAGCCAATTTGAATCCTTAAATGGCTCATATCTGGATATACAAATTCTATATCAAAAAATATAAAAACCAGGATTAGCAGTGCTAAAACACAGATGTTTTATGACCAAAATGGTGATTGTGACAAACGGTCAATGAGCTATTTGAGTTTACTTTATATATACACAGTCTATGGCTGGGAGCTACACACACCTTGAGAAATCACTTGAGTGTAATGGTGTTGGAGTTCTGAGACATTGATGTGGAAGAAAAATGTATTACAATTACATAATTTTAGACTTCACTGTGATTTATTGAGTGTTCTCTATTCCATGTCTACTTTAAGATAAACCTTTGCTGATGCAGGGGGTGGGGGTCTAAGGACAGTGATAGGACATTTATTAACGTTTATGGACGTTGGTTATCTCGCCCCCTATTGACCAATATAACTTCCATGTGTTTATTATTGCATTTCCTGTGTTCAAACGGTTTGGTTCTCTGATCTGTTGTTGGTGCTGCGGAAAATTTGTAAAGTCCTCTGCTGTTATGATTTAGGGCTCTACAAAAATAAATGTAACTGAATGTATTCCGTTTTGAGAAAAGATCTTGTGTGAGCGTATCTGACTTGGACCAACACTTTTGATAAGTCGTCGACATACCTTACTAGATTTTAGAGTTCTTGCACAACGACTGCAGGCCGCCTCAATCTAGACGTCTATTGAAATCCTGAATCGCACAAAAGGCAAATCGAGCCCTTAGAGAAATGCGTAGGAGGCGTGTGGGAGAAGGCAAACTCCACCACCGCTGTACCAATCTCATCTCAGCCTCGCTTCTGAGATTTTACCCTATCGAAAGGCGGAAGGGTAAAAGAGGGGTATCGAAAATCACTTTACACAGTCCTGAAAGGTGGCCCCAGACGCGCTCTCCGCAGTGCAAAGCAAAGCCCTCGTATCCATGACAACAGATCCACTCTCAGCAATTGAATGGATGAGGAAGAAGAAGAGATAAGGAGATTTTCAATTCAATTTGCTGCAAACGGCTCCTTACCCCTCATGTAAATGGAATAAGTAGGTTATACTTGGCCACGCAAGAGCAATGACAACCAGAGGGGAGGTTGTTATGTCATGTTGCAATAGCCGAGTTCCTCTCAAGACCCAACGAGGACTCGTGCTGCGATTCACTTCATTCCGGGTCCACCTCGAGGGATAACTGGATCCTTATTACTGAAGTTTTGAAGGTTGTGGGTTTGATCCTGTGTTGACCTTGGTTATATCTGTGTGGAGATTGCATGTTTCACCCTGTGTCTGGTTGGGTTTCCTCCAGGTGCTCTGGTGTACCCCCCCTACATAAGGTATGCAGCATAGATAAAAATCCTCCAGCTCCGGTAGTGAGCTGGTCGTCCTGACCAAGATTGGCCACTGCTCCTGACAGGTTGCCTTTGTTGCATTCAGGGATGGGTCAATGCAGAAATCTAGTTCTATTTTGAACTAGATTCATGAGGAAAGAGGGGGATTCCCTCAGTACAGAACCAGAGATGGGGAGAGATGTAGGCTCAGAGTGTTTGGTCTTGTGTCTTGTCTGAGTGAGTGCTGTGTGTTGTATGCATGAGAGGGGCTTTAACCAAATTGGTGTTTTTGTAAATGAGTTTGACTTTGAAATGTATTGGTATTTTATTTTAGTGGATTAGATTCAATTCACTAATCACTTGTTACAGCCATAAACTTACTCCTGCAGGTATGGCCCCAGCTCCTAAGTATCTTCAGCTGCATTTGTTTCACTGGACACAGTTCTGTTTAAAATAAATCCAAAAATATTAATCAGTCTAAAAGGCTTTGCAGTTCCTTGCAGTAACAGTTCAAACATGCTGCTACACTTTACACTTTATTGACCTTTTTGCGATGTTATATTAATTGATCCTGTTAACCTTTGAGTGCATGATTCCTGGAACATAAGCAGGGCTTGGCTTGGGTAGTACTTGGGTGGGAGACCGCTGGACCTCTTTCATCTGTTTAGGTCATATGTAATGCCACCATTGGCTGGTGGGAGTGCACTTTTCTTTTTTCTCCTACACACTGCGATAAGAGGTTTACATGCGTAGCTGGAAAGGTGATGGTTATTTACTGATAAGGTGATGGTTTTCTTATCTGAATCAAATCAGATGTTGACTTTCCTGTTCGTGTGTTTACAGGTGGAGGAGGTGGTGGACGTGGGGACGTTTGCTGCAGAAGATATCCACATCCCCAGCATCTACGTGAACAGAGTCGTAGAGGGCGGAAGCTACGAGAAGAGGATTGAGGTATGGCATGAAGGATATTAATACTGTGGATACACTGAAGTGCTGATATCCCTCAGCTTTAAGTTCTACATGACTTTTTGAATTCACAAATATTGCAAAAATTGAAAAAAAATATACAGAGAAAATATTGGGATTATGTTTGCCTACAGTATTTAATTTTGTTGATACCATCTACCTATTCTTTGGGGGGAAAAACTATTTTCAGTACATTATTTCCAACTCACAATTTTTTTTCCACCAAAACATATAAAATAGAACAATAATATCAACAGTTTCATCATTTTTACTGAACTTGAACGAATGAAAAATGAGTTAGACTGTCTGGCTCTTACAATAGCTGTTCCGGGTTATATTTTTATCTGATGGCATTCATGAAACAACAAAAATTGAGATTTAAAGACCTTATGACGGGTTTAAAAAAAAAAAAAAGCGGATATCAAAATTGCATGACAATGTCAATTTGAAAGAGATTCCGGCAAAAAAATCCTATATTTTATAAAAAGAACGTGTTTTTCATGAATTTAAGTTGTCTATGCTCTAACCTGTGTGTGACGTCATAGCGGGTAACGCCCATGCATTGAAAACCATGGATCTATGCCACAGGACTGCCTTTTCTCTCTTCTCTCCACTGATGCCCAACACAATACTGCACTCTACAGGTGACAATTGCTCACTACACATAAATTGCCGTTTTGAGTGTGAAAAAGTGTCCGAGGTGGGCATTGAACCCAAGTATCTGGATTGGCAGTTCATCGACACAACCACTGGACTATATCAGTGACAACAAAATGTGACATTCTAGTAGATATCTTAGACTCGCTGTACACGGCCTTGTCATCTTGAATATCCGTGAAAAAAGAACGAATACCAAATTGTAAACAACTTACAGCGTTGAAACGTACCCATTCTGACGTCACCAAGGGCTGTGAAGTTTTTTCGTTTCTAAGGGCGTTGCTATGGGGTTATTTCGATTTGGGGGGATCAGACAAAAAAAACAACAACTGATTTTGAAACCTTTAGTAGTTCTCTTCTAATATAAAATGGTATTAAAACTGTATTTCTAAATAAATCAAACCCGGTCATGGTGACACCAAGAACAGATTTGAATAGTTATTTTGTTCTGGGAGATGGCCAGTCCTCTGTCCCTCCTCCTGTTCAGCCTGGTGCCCTGCTCTCCCCTGCTCTTTCTTCTTATGGATACAAAAATTAAAGTCTGTAATTCCATCAGCGCCGTGTGTGTACAAATTAGAGCTGCACGATATTGGAATGTGTGATATGCAACTGTGGTGTCAAGGACTGTGATAACGATGTGTATTGCAATATTTTCTTTTCCCCATTGAAATTATAGTTACATTAAACCATTACAATACAACACTTTTATTTCCTAAATGGTATGAATGTTATTTGAATTGAAAGTTAACTATATTGTAATTTCAGTCACAACAGGCATTAATAATGTTCATTCATGCCACATAAATGAGTTGGGTATTTTCATTTATTTTTTCGTGGAGGGACCCTTGTCTTTGTTTTTCGTCTCTTTGAAACTGTAATGTTTTTAGGAACATGTTTTTCACCTGGCTCTATCGTTCATGTGAGTTTGCGAACTCTCTATGGCCAATGATAAAGTGGGATTTTCAGCAGTGAGCATTTTATGCCGCCTTGATTGGTCAATGGAGAGGGAGGTCAAGAAACGTATGATTTTATACGTCCTAATAAAATGTCTCTTGTATAAGGTTCTCTATGGCACTCCACTATAACTCACTATACATAAAACTTAGATCTTTGTGTGTATTTGCTTATCTTACCAAAAGCAGATTGGGCTTTAGAGACGCCAGGCAAGCAAGTACATGAATTTATTGCAAAAAATAAAGTTAAGCCATTTGCAACAGCTCCAGCTCGCTTGGTATTGACACCCCTGACTCGTGAATTCCTCCAATCTCTTGGGACAGGCCAGTGTCTAGACAAGCTGTCTGACCAAAATTGAGGCCAAAAAATCTTGGGGGGGAAAAAGAAAATCGGCTCGGATCAAACAAGAGCAGGTGCAAGTGCTGATGCTATCCTAGTCCTTTAGTGTCTGAAACCATTGTCGCTTTGACCAAAATATCTCCCCAAGTTTCTGCCACTGTAGATATGAGCCATCTGTGGTTTTTTTTTTAGAAACGCACAGTCAAGAAAAGTCAGACGGAAAAACCCAAACCAAAGAAAGACTCTGATATCGTTCGGGAGAGAATCATTTGCCGAGCCGCTCTGGAGTTTGAAGATGGAATGTATGGTATCCTTTTTAAGAGAATATGTCAAGATTTAAGACGAAAATGCGCATTGTGTTGTACTTATGTATGCACAACTTTTAAGATTTTATAGGTAGCATAAGCACAATCATAATACCACACAATACAAAAGATTGACTGGTTTTGTAGTTTTTTAGAGTGTTGAAGAGGTTCTGAGCTTCACAATGATTGTCTGTATTGTGTATTGGCAAAGACAAAGTTGGCTTGATGACACGGAATGTATGTTTTATGATTCCGAAAAAATAGAGGAATGAGTTTATATGGGGGTCAAAAAAGAGGGGTGGGAGGGCTCAGGTGCTCTTCAAGGATCCGTGGGAGAATAATGTGGATAACAATGTTTATGATTGCAATGGCTAATTTTGTGTTAGTAAAGCAGAGGGCCACAAAAAATGACACAGTGGGACGCAATTGGCCCCCGGGCCTTAGTTTGGACATACCTGGTCTATATGTAAGGGTATACTGTATATTGTGAATGGTCTGATTCTGTCTGCAGGTGAAACTCTGCAAATTTGAATTTTGTTCCAGGTGCATTTAGGTAGCTTACTTGTTAAAATGTTAATAATTGGGTCACATCTTGTAAAAATCCAAAATAAAACATCTCGGAAAATGTGAATATTTTGACAACGGACTGTATGCCAAAATCATCACAATGATAACAGACAAAAGCTTGGCATTTGTCACTTTGCCTGAAATGAGTCTATTTCCCATTGAAATGACTAGTGTGTATTTAGAAACTTGACAATCTTATCTGTGTCCCAATTCCTTTTAAAACGTTGAAACTATTTATGGCTCCTTTCCTCTCCTCAATGCATATATTTGGATTGAACGCTCTTAATTCTTTTTGGCTCTTGTCGCCACATGCGTCTAATTCACATAAGACATTTTTGCTTCTGATTTATCTCCATCCATTTTGTGAGAGTAATAATTATATGCCATATTCTACATTTAAAAGCAAAACATATTTTCCCTGTGACCAGCGAGTGCTTTTGTTCCTCTCAGCCCCGCACATGTTGGGCATTGGCCAGAGTAACGTTGGCCTCCTCTCTGTAAATTTTCCACCGCGACTAATTGTTGCTTGAAATGCTGATTGCACTGGCAAATTATAGTGTGCGCATCATGTCATTTGAATGTGCATATCTGTGATTTTGTCATGACATTTGTCCTTCACACGCTTTTGGGCGCCTGATTTATCATTAACGACTCGCTGGTTTCACATTGTGTTGCTATTTCGTGCCACACATTGGTAATTTCTCGATAATTATGTGGTATCCAGGCAGTGCCGGGTCCGTGAGATCCCCGAGGTGGTTAGCCTGGACAGATTCTTGCATTTTTGTACGTTTTTGAGTTTTAGCAAAATTTCCAGTATAATCTTTAACATGTTTTCCCCAGCCAACCTAGGTATTGGAATTCCAATGTTGGCGAGCAATTTTATCAAAGGAGACATCACAGTTCATCTTCAAAGTGAGAATGGCATTTTGGGGCTGGTAAGACACTCATTATTGGAATTTCATTACATATAAACATTGTAAAACAAATTCATTAAGATCATATTTCTTCTTTCTGTCTGGTGCCACCAAATGAAATCTAGGATGGTGACAGAACTAATCCAGTCCTAATGAATTTTGAATAAGTGCAAACACAAAACTTGCTTGTATATTATTTCCCGTAAGACATTAGATGATAGAACTGTTGATTCAATGCTGCTCTACAAAATCTTATAAATCACAGTTTGAAAGTAAATTGCGTCCCTCAAACTATACAATTATCAATGGGAAGCTTTCTTAGGGACCTATTAATCAATTTTTTTAACCATGTTACAACATCAACCCCAGACCAGGAGTTGTTTTTAGATCCATCAATGCTAATATCAGTAACTTTAGGCACAAACATGTAACTCCGCTCCTTCTGTCTGAAAGCTCCTCTGTCTGTTCTGTAATCTTTTCATGTCATTGTCGTTCAGAGCCTTTTTAGATTAAAAAAAGTATTTTCCGTGATTCATTTTTGGCAATTTCTCAAGTGAAATTATGTTCTTAGCACTCACAGGGGTGTGTTTGTAGCCGGTAATTTTTGAGTTTGGAGACAAAACCAAACAAAGCAAATAAACTCTGCTCCTCCTTCTGGTGGTAGCTTAGGGAGTTGGAAGTGGAAAGCATTTTTTACCCTTCTTACTCGTGTCACCATATATTTTGTACTTCAAATCTTATTTCACATTCAAAAGCATGACATCTCATCATTTTTAATGGACTAAAATAATGCATCATATTTATTCCTAGAATCCACTGTTCTGTTGTCTTCTGGTGACTTGATGTCTTTGAAAATTGGGCTTGTTATTTACCGTGGCTCATTAGATGAAATGGTGCAAAATGTTTCCTTGTCATTTGCGTTGATAGAATTCTGATGCCTATGATAATGCCGTATTTGAGTTAGTTTTTACGTAGAAGGGCCAGGGGTTTACCTCTTCACCGCCTTTTGTGCAGCACAGAAAATCAATGCCTGATCTAATCGCAGAGATTGCGTCTGTCTGAGACTTGAGAAATGGCCACCGCTCCGGTTGAGTGATGGGTCAGGGGGTATTAGCTTTTTGTGTTTAATTTTGATTTGTCATTTTACAGGGTCCATACCCCTCTGAAGAAGAGGTGGATGCAGATCTCATCAATGCAGGTAGATATTTGACAGATTGAGGCCCAAATACTAATTGATTTCAAAATGTGCACTTTTTTATGTTGTCTTTTTTGTTCTAACAATTAAGTCTGAACAATATCCATAAGAAAGCCACAGTGTCGCTGGTAATTTCACAGTTTATTCGCTCAATATATGTTCATAATGATGAACAAAAATCATCAGAAAGTAAGGACCATCGTAACAGTGATGAAGAGAAACAATATATATTTGTATATTGACCCATTAATACACCCCATAAAAGTAGAAAAAATTCATAAAATTGATTACAATCAAATTGTTTTTTTTACTACACAGCTCTTCGGCCATCATGTGTGTGAAACGCATGGTTTGATTTTATAAAAAACAATTCATTGTTGGTTCAATAAATATTGACCTGGTCTTTTTTCTGTGGGTTAACGTTAGTTAGGGTTCAGTAAAATCACATGCAATATTATGGCTCTACGGGAAACATTTATTGATTTACAAAACCATAAATAAAAGTCTAGCTTTATTCTAGCGACTAAAGATCAGAATAGGGCTGGGCGATAAAACAACAACGATATATATTGCAATAAACACGTGTTCGATATCAATAGAAAACGGGGTCGATAGAACTTTTGATAGTTTAACTTCAGTCCGTTCGAAAAAAACAGGAACAAAACACAGGAAGTAAAGCCGAGTCAGAAGCGCACGGCATTCTGGGGGATGTAGGCAAAGGCTTCTCGACCTATCACAGCCGACTACAAACCGCAAAACTTTCTGGGAAAAGCATAAAAACAACCGCACCATGCGTAGCGTAATAGCCATGGATCTAAAGATCGTGTTTCAGTGCCGTGTCAATAGTTATGCACGTCCGTGCGTGGAACAGCATGTGCGGCAAGGGAGAGGCAGTGGGTACAGAGACTCGATGCATTTGGCAAAAGCAAGAGATTAACTTTCCGGAGCCGCCAAGGGGACACAGGACACTCGAAAACAGACAAAACAGGAGCCAAACCAGGATTAAACCAGGATCAAACCAGGATTAAACCAGGACTAACTATGGGGGAGACTGCTTGTGAACATTTGCCTCCAGCCTCATTCCCCCGTGACTGTGACAAGGCTGCTAACATGTGTTAGCCGACACGACAAATGTATTTATTTACGTTTTTAAAAATAAATAAAAAACAATCAATATATATCGTTATCGACCGATATGAATTACTTGTATTGTGATATAGTTCAGCCATATCGCCCAGCCCTAGATCAGAATAATTTGATATTGACTTTTTAGTTTGGGCGGTACACTAGCAGAATTGTCGTCAGACGTTTGGGGGGGATATAACCCGATTCTGTTCTATAATATGATAATTTATGACTCCTGTGGCTCACTTAGCCCCGCCCCTTCAACTGAGCATTGGGAAACCTACTCCAAATTCATGGCGCTGCTCCTGCGGCAACAAATTTACTATGCAATTTTTTTTTTCCCTTTGAGCCAAAATGGCCCCTCATGATGGTCTGGATCCTCCACATATTACAGATTCAGGGGCGGGGCCAGGTAGTCAGAGAGCTCAAGCTTAATCAAAGTAGATTTTTAGGTAATGCTTCCCTTGAAGTGCATCTTGACGTTGTCCTTGTCCCACAGGGAAGGAGACCGTGACTGTGCTTCCTGGTGCAGCCTACTTTTCCAGTGATGAGTCCTTTGCCATGATCCGAGGGTAAGATTATACTGCTATTGAAAATACTTTAAGCTTCAAGCACCTCAGTGTCTGATGTACAACGTAATATACGACACAAATAAATGTCCGGTAGGAAGTCATCTCCCCCTCACCCACACAGTTGCACCTCTATAATCATAAAGCAGGATTTGACCGCAAGACATAGCCACAATTTGTTGCGTTGGATAATGGCAAGTGTCACCAGTGAAAGTACACAGGAGCATAGCCAATATTCCCAGGCACTGTGGTCTTTATCGATTTGCCCGCAGTCTGAGATTGCCTCACTCTCTCCAGCTTCGGTTGTGTGTCCACCCAGTAGAAATCCAATAGAGATCATAAATAGCTCGATTCAGGATTAAAGGGACTAAAATGGAAGCATGCTGTCTCTGTGCACATACAGTGCCCCCCTTGAACCTTTCAGCATTTCGCCACATTTCAGGCTTCAAACATAAAGATATAAAATTTAAATTTTTTGTCAAGAATCAACAACAAGTGGGACACAATCGTGAAGTGGAATGAAATTTATTGGATAATTTAAACTTTTTTAACAAATAAAAAACTGAAAAGTGGGGCGTGCAATATTATTTGGCCCCTTTACTTTCAGTGCAGCAAACTCACTCCAGAAGTTCAGTGAGGATCTTTGAATGATCCAATGTTGTCCTAAATGAGTGATGATGATAAATAGAATGCACCTGTGTGTAATCAAGTCTCCGTATAAATGCACCTGCTCTTTGATAGTCTCAGGGTTCTGTTTAAAGCGCAGAGAGAACCATGAAGACAAAGGAACACACCAGGCAGGTCCGAGATACTGTTGTGGAGAAGTTTAAAGCCGGATTTGGATACAAAAAGATTTCCCAAGCTTTAAACATCTCAAGGAGCACTGTGCAAGCAATTATATTGAAATGGAAGGAGTATCAGACCACTGCAAATCTACCAAGACCCGGCCGTCCCTCCAAACTTTCATCTCAAACAAGGAGAAGACTGATCAGAGATGCAGCCAAGAGGCCCATGATCACTCTGGATGAACTGCAGATAACTACAGCTGAGGTGGGAGAGTCTGTCATAGGACAACAATCAGTCGTGCTCTGCACAAATCTGGCCTTTATGGAAGAGTGGCAAGAAGAAAGCCATTTCTTAAAGATATCCATAAAAAGTCTCGTTTAAAGTTTGCCACAAGCCACCTGGGAGACACACCAAACATGTGGAAAAAGGTGCTCTGGTCAGATGAAACCAAAATCGAACTTTTTGGCCACAATGCAAAACGATATGTTTGGCGTAAAAGCAACACAGCTCATCACCCTGAACACACCATCCCCACTGTCAAACATGGTGGTGGCAGCATCATGGTTTGGGCCTGCTTTTCTTCAGCAGGGACAGGGAAGATGGCGAAAATTGATGGGAAGATGGATGGAGCCAAATACAGGACCATTCTGGAAGAAAACCTGTTGGAGTCTGCAAAAGACCTGAGACTGGGACGGAGATTTATCTTCCAACAGGACAATGATCCAAAACATAAAGCCAAATCTACAATGGAATGGTTCACAAATAGACGTATCCAGGTGTTAGAATGGCCAAGTCAAAGTCCAGACCTGAATCCAATCGAGAATCTGTGGAAAGAGCTGAAGACTGCTGTTCACAAACGCTCTCCATCCAACCTCACTGAGCTCGAGCTGTTTTGCAAGGAAGAATGGGAAAGAATTCCAGTCTCTCGATGTGCAAACCCCAAGCGACTTGCAGCTGTAATTGCAGCAAAAGGTGGCGCTACAAAGGATTAGCAGAAGGGGGCCAAATAATATTGCACGCCCCACTTTTCAGTTTTTTATTTGTTGAAAAAGTTTAAATTATCCAACAAATTTTGTTCCACTTCACGATTGTGTCCCACTTGTTGTTGATTCTTGACAAAAAAAATATTTGTTATATCTTTATGTTTGAAGCCTGAAATGTGGCGAAATGTTGAAAGGTTCAAAGGGGCCGAATACTTTCGCAAGGCACTGTATGAAGTTAAGTTAACGGATGTTTATTTAATAGTTGAATACATCCTTGTTCAAAACTGACTAAGCTTTGGGGACTTGTGCACTGTGACATTGTTCTGGTGGGAACTGCTTCTTGTGTTGTTGGCATTTTTGGCGCTCAAAAAAATGTACTTCACTCACAGAGATATATAAAAAGAAAACATTGTATTTATAAAGCACAGTTCATACTCAAAACTGCAACTCTGAGCTTCACAAGGAAACGTGTGAATAGTTGAGTAACAAAAAGGCAGTGATCAGATAACGGTACTACCAGTGGGGGCGGGTCCCGGCCAAAATGATGTGCGCTGACATGCTTGCAATACCACCCCGGGCCGATGGGGGTGGACCCGGAATAAGAATTAGCCAATGCTAACATATAGCATTGGCAGACCTCTCGAAAACGTCTTTACAGGATGGACCAAAAGTTGGCTCTTGGCCCAAAGCTCCGTTCCACATGTGTGTCAATGCAGAGGGGGGTGAATGTTTTTGGACCACTCTAGTTTACTTGCTGTGAATTTTTGAAGTCTCTCGTTCAAATGAATGGAGCTTACGGCGGCTGACGCATGCGCAGATGCGTTTTTTCACAATTTTCTTGTGGGCGGGACCACTTGCGGCCATTTTGGATAGCTCCAGTAGAGCACTATTTTTGGCCCATTAGTTAGAACGGCGGAGACAAGCGTGACTACGTCCATTCATTTTTACAGTCTATGGGTACTACATAAGGATAAGAAAGTCTGGACAGTCTTTAGTTTACTCTAAAATGATCTCAGGGTCGCAGCACACTTAAAGCCCACTCCCATCTCTGTGAGGAGTGAGAGACAAATGCCCATTATTGTTAAGCGCTTTGTGACTCTGGTCTGTGAGCCATTTTTGTAATTTACATACATTTTGAGTCCATAAATGTTGCTGAATGTCGAATGTCCTGATCATCACCACTGTCCTTAGACCCTCCTGCACAACCTGGCTTGTGCAGTAAAACACCATGATGCTCTCCCCTACACTCATCTAATCTAGCTGAACTGTGTAGGTTGGTTACATTCTGCAGCTTTATGATAAAGCCACAACTTTCTATCTCAAAGCAAAAGCAAAAGTAAAGGCTGTGCGTTCTGTACACACACAGCTTCTGTTGAGTGTTCAGACTGCAAATCCTGAATCTGTGAGCAAAGCTGAAAATCACTTACAAATAAAGTGCTGCTGTTTTTGTTCTATCTTGGTACAAAACAGTGACAGTAATGACAATAAAACTAAAGACGTGTTGGCTCAACTGAAATTTGAAAGGGGCAGGACCACTTAACAATCAGGATCTTATCAAATGAATGAACATAAGAATATGTAAATGAACAAACAGTGACAAACACAAAGCCACTAATAATCCATTATGTATGAGTACAAATAATGCAGTCAGCTGTAGCCTTCCTCAATGTACAGAAGTACATGGTGTTCAGAGAATTTGTCAATGTGAGAAATGGACAAAGCTGACCTCCTGAATAAGACGAGGAGTATCTTTAAAGACAGGTTTTTATTTCTCATGGGCTGATGACGCAGCAGCACAGTGGTTCAAGCTCTCGCCTTTCAGCAAGAGTTCAAATTTAAGTCTGTACAGGACCTTTCTGTGCAGGTTCTCTCTGTGTATGCGGGGGCTTCCTCCAGGTACCAAAAGGGTCCATGGGTGGGACATAAAAGATTTTACCCCTTCCTCCCCTGACCTAAAACCAATTATAAAGTTTTGGGCCATGGATGAAAGACAGATATATAGTGAGGTGAATAGTTGAAGTGGCCTTGTTCATAATAATTGTTTTGTGTGTGAGGGGCAGTCCTCAATTGTGTCTGCAAATATTCGTTTCATCCGCTTGACTTGTTGTCACTTGATCAATTAATACAAAATTAACAGAGCATGATTTTACTAACATGTCGGCAATAATTCTGCTGCATCAGAAGAACTGCTGCTCATGACAAAAAACCTTCAAAAAGATTCTGCAGCTTTTAAGCAAACGGCTGCATTTGCAAATATGGTAACAATAGAATGAATATTAGCAATGCAGTAATTAGGTTTGAAAACATTAGTAGTTTGCAAAAAATGCCAAGTCTCAGACAGTACAACAGAACAGAATTAGCCACACCAATTTGTTTACTCCTGACTCGTACAATTGGGACTTGGTATCACCACAAAGCCTTCTCATGGAGTGCATTTACAAAGCATAAGAAAGAATACGGAGTGCTTTCAAATATCGCACTCATTTTGATGGAATAATCAAACCGGTCTGACGGGTTTGGGTCTTGTCTCCTTGCGCGGCGCGAAGAAGCCACTCATTGCTCCAGACCTTTGGACGCTTTCAACGTTGTCTTGTAATGTTCCCTTCTTACACCAAACCTTGGGGACCGAGCCCTCAGAGCAGCTGCACCCACTCTCTGGAACTCACTCCCACAACCCATCAGTAACTCCCACTCACCTGTTTCAGCTCGCCTTTCCTTCATTTTGTTCTTCAATGTTTATTTTGATGTGTTTTGTAAAGCGTCTTTGAGTGTCTCTGATGTCTATTATACATGTGTCATAAGCAATTAAGCAACGCTCGGAAAGTCTAATCACACAATATTATGTTGTGTGATTATTTTATATTTGAATCTTTCTTTTTTATGTTCTGTGATTATTTATGATTTTAATCTTATTTTGTTAATCTTATTGTGTATGAATTGTGCTATACAACTAAACGTGCCTTGCCTTGCCTATGTTTACTTCAGGGGCAGCAACAAAAATTATTGCATTTCCGGGACGTTTGTTGATTGTTTTTGATTGCGCAATAAAACAAAACAAAATGTGCAGTGAGGGACTATATATTGATCCTGTCCTAATACATACATGTATAGTAGAAGTTTGGCTTTTCCCTGTGCAATCAAATTCATCTCCACCCAAGGTTTTGTTCCGATCCCACATCCAGCTCAACCACAAATAAATCGTACGTCTTCATCAATTGAATAAAATCTGAGAAGGTGAAGAATTCGGTTTTCAGCAGTGCTTTGTAAACGCACTCATCGAAGCAGCTCGACTTTGAAAAGTTTTTTAGATCCACGGTTTTATTCACCACTGATAATGAAACTCTACTGAGGAGACGTAACCCAATTGTAGAGCAATTTGATTTGAAGGTGTCAACACTCGCAAACCCAAATGTATTTATCCAGGAAAAATATGCAGTCTCTGAAAGTAGCCGACTGTGTAAATTACTTTAAAGTAATAAGAATGTAAATTAGCCAAACACGACCTATAGCAAAAACTGATTATGGGTTTTGGTGTAAGTTTAGTTGGAAGATGATTGAATTGTGAAAATGTTATGTATTCTCTTTGTCGCTCTACGATTGTAGATCGAATAACATCATAGTACCCAGTATTTCAGATAGAGAAGTGGGGCACTTTCACAGGCCACAAAAAATACTATTTCATAAAATCTATAGTTCCTAAATCTCTCAAAATAGTTGTTGGCCTCTGTCACATCTCTAGATAAGCTTTTTCAGAAAGAACAGTGAAAGAGAGGACCACCCTCACTCGGCCAATCAGCTCTCTTTCTTACAAGTATGCAAAAGATGCATGTTTTCTAAAAGATGAAGAGAGATGGTTGTTCACAACATTTTACTCAGAGTAAACTCTAGAGTCTTAAAGTGGACTTTCTTTTTGGACAAAAATTATCATTATATAGAATTGAAAATAAAACCTTTCTAAGGGTGCATCAATATAGCTAAACCACAAATCCTTCCGTAAAGTTTGACCTGTATTCCTGCGCTCTGGATAGGCATCTAAGAATGTTGTTTTATGCTGAGCCTCGTCTCCTCCACCTTTTGAGTCATTTGCTCAAAAGAATCTGACAGCTGTCTTCTTCCTGTGTCCTTGTTGTTTGCAGGGGTCACGTCAACTTGACAATGCTGGGAGCCATGCAGGTTTCAAAATACGGAGATCTGGCCAACTGGATGATCCCGGTAAGGAACCAAAGACAAAAGGCATTCACAAATGCAGAGACAGCTCATTTTTCCAGGTAGCATTTGAGACATGAGAAAGAACATACTCAGCCATATTGGACATGTACAGTGGAAGGATGTGACAACTCCTTCTGACTTGTAGAAAATGTTGCTCAATAGTAAGATGTTTTTGTATGTTTACACTGCAGCTTTAATCTCTATTAATAGTCCTTTCATTTTCTACAGAGATAATCATTATGTTAATGGTTTGTTTCATGACTCAGAAGAGGGTGTCTTAATTTGCCACATTTTCCTGTGTGGATCGTATCATGCAATCATTCACAGTCACTAAGGACTAATGGCTGTCATTTTAATAGATTAGAGTTAATGTGAAATGTGTGCAGTAGGCTATTAGGCTGACATGTTGTTGATATGTTGTTGCTTAACCATAATGATTAAGTAATTGACTTAAGGCTACACAAGATTGCTGAGGTCAAGAATCCATTAAATAGCAGTTTAATGGAGTTTCAGCCTTGTCACAATATACTATGTGCATTTCTTATTACTATTAGAACTATTATTACATGAGCATATATTTATTTTTTACTCTTGTGGTGTATTTTTGTTGTTGCACATACCCGAGTGAATTCCAAAGCCTGTAAAGATGGTTAAGAAAGTCTGTATGATAAAAGTGTGGCTGGTCCTTTGCTTCTGACATTTCCACCACTCTTTGTTTGTTTATCATCTGCATTGCTATTTAATTAGTTATTGTTTGCTTCGAGAGATTTCTAATGAATAGATGCTTGATGGAGCTCATTTTGACATTAATATTAATACCTGCTGTTGCGCTTAATGAAACAAGTCAATAACGAGTAGACAGAGATCTTAATATTTCATAGAAAATGAGGCATGGGAAACAAAAAAGAGAAGATAAAGAAGCACATGCACAAAACACGCAGAGTTGCTGTGCGTCCAGACTCAGTGATGACATTAGTTTGTTTCGAAGCAGAAACTGATGAAGGTGAAAGGAAAGTATATCACAGTTTTCAGAAAGAAGCTACAGGAATATGCAGCGGTTTTTAATTAGTCTGGGATCGCGCAACAATTATTACGGCACCACTGGGTGTGTGGAACCCTCCAGTGCGAAAAGAAAACTTCATTTACTTTCTATTTTGGGATTGTTTGATTCTGTTATGACTCAATTGGGGCCAGGGAAAGGTACGTGGAGAACGACCTGCAAGTTTTTATAATTCACTTTTATTTATTTCCCAATTGTATTGACTGAAATTGCTAAACAAATATCGGGCACTAGGAAAAGATGATTAATTATTGACGATGTTTAAAGAATACATGTTATTTTTGTCAATAAGAAATATAATAAGACTACTTTCTTTGGCAATTGACATCTTTAGAATATATAATGGAGTAGAACGTGCTCTTATTTCCTCCTTTTATTCTCCTGTAATGTGCAAAACGATGACATTGAAATTTCCACTGAGGGACATATAAAGGTTTATCTAATCTTATCCTACACCATTTCTTACATGATCTAGTACAGTGTCTTTTATAAAATTATAAAACATGATTATTTGACTGGAAAAATCTAATTTAAATCATTTTTGAATTACAAAATGGGGTGCATCATATACATGTTTGTAGCAGATGCTATTTCCCCCAAATAAAATAACGAGAAGAGCCTATTTTTTTACGTCGTCTTCTTGGTTAGTATTTTGGGGGGCCGTGCAAACCCGTCAGATTTTAAAGAGATCGTGGTGTTACTGACTTTGGGAATGGCTGGTCTAGTAATTATGAAGAGTAAAAATGCTTTTCACCTGTAACTCCCTATGCTACCATCAAAGGGAGTAGGTGAAATTGTTTTAAAATGACCGGCTGCAAACACAGAAGGCAACAGTATGAAAGAATGTGGCTGTAGCTGTACATGGTTCAATCTGACTCAATGTTCATTAAATCTGCTGTGTTTTGAGTCACTTTTTAATGACTCAGACAAATGCTTAGACAATGCTTTGAGACAATCCTGCTTTTTTGTACTGATTTTATATTGTTATTTTTTTACAATAATTTTCTGAATCAATATTATCGTCCATCAAAAAGAGTTATCATGCTAGCTCTACCTCCAATTGATTATTTATCTTCAATTTGTGGTCAGTTGGCACAAACATACTACTGGAAAATCGTCATTAGGGGTAAGTAATGTGGTGCCAGTGTGCCATCCTTTCACTTCATCCAGTTTTCACTTTGACATCAAATCCCCATTTCAGCTTATTAAAGATTTACTTGAGTTGCCACAAAAATACTGACAGTCCCTCCCACCTCTTCCCACACACAGAGGACTGCTTCTGTTACCTGCTTTGTTAATACACAACGCCTGACTTCAAAACTGTCTTTTTGAATGCTTTTGTTTGTTTGTGTTGTCTCTCTGATCTGCTTTGCCTGTGTTCCTGTAGATCTCATACTCTTCTACTCATTCTCACTCTTAACAGTGGAGGTTTGTTTGGCCATATTAGAATATACTAGTATATAATTATATCAAAAACATGCTGTTTACGCACAGAAAAAGTGTTGTTGTATAAAGGGAAAATGGAAGCAAGAATTAAGTATAAAATCTATAATCGAAAGATGTAGATTTTAGACTTGCTTCCTTATTATGCTTAAACTAAAGCAAGATATTTTATATTTGCACGATATTATGCTAGAGCTATAGATTTCATACTTGTTTCTTTATTATGCTAAAGTTAGAGATGTCATTGTATTTTATTTGAGTATAGAGTTAGCGTTCATTTATCTTGTGTGCTCCTCATTCCATTTCCTACTGTTCTGTAAATTTCCCCACTGTGGGGCGAATAAAGGATCTTTTAATCTTGATTACATTATTACCAAAATGTGATATGGTAACAAAACAGTTGCCAGTTGTAGCATAAAAGAAGGAAGTGTGCTGAGGGCCTATGGGTATTGGTAATATCTTGGCATTTCTCCCGGGCTGTGCTAAATATTCACATACGGTATATAATTTGTGTATTTGTAATTAAGAGTCACAATATAGTTAAGTTTATGAGTTGGAACAGGTCTAATGGTTATAAGGTTAGGGATAAGTGAAAGGTTAGCTTGGCACAAGACAAATTGGAAAGATTTTAGGGAGTCCCCCACAAGGGTCAAGCTGTAGTTTGGTTCATTAGGGTTAGATTTTATGGTTAAGAATGGAAGTCCTCAGTGAGGCTCGTCCTCAGTTGTACACAGACATCTGCATTTTTGAAAGTAACAAAATTATAGCTGAGGGTTAGTGATTGAAAATGATAATTATTAAGTTGGGTTGTCTTGAAGAAAAGCGTTGGCTTGTTAATTGTATAGACGACCTTTCCCTCATTCGTCAGCAGTTCTTTTTAAACATTTTTACATTTCCCCGTCTTTATGATAATGGAAACGATTCAGTAAACGAGAGCGTGCTGTGAAATTGGTAATGTAATGTTTGTAGGAGGGGGAGAAGTGCTTCCCCCAGCGTGATAATGATGTTGATTTTCAATGTTTTTTAAAATGCACAAAGCTTTTGAGGAGTTTCCAGCTGAGGGACTTAAAGCCGAAAGAGGATCATATTTAGTGTCATGCATTTGCCAAATCAATATCAATATTATGACATTATGGTACAGCCACTCATTGAATTGTCATTGACTGAATTGAATTGTAAACATTGCAGCAGAGGATTAATATGTATTTTACTCATTGTTAGTGTAATCCCGCATTACGTGACCCCGGTCCTCGTTCTACAGCCTGAGTCCTATAATCTAATGCCCGTCCGTCTGTGGGAGCGGATCCCTCTTTCAATATGGGAGACCCAGAGGTTTCTCATTTTCTCCCACAAGGTTTTTTGTTTCAATTTGCCGATGCAGGAGGGTCTATGGACAGTGGTGGACTTTTTCAACATTTATGGACATTGGTCATCTGCCCCCTATGGACCAATGGCTCTGTTTTCTATATTTACATTTCCTGTGTTTGAACTGTTTGAGTCTCTGATCTGTGCTGCTGAATCGACGGCTTGTAAAGTCCCCCAAGATTTTCCACTTCTCACCAAATATAAATATCAAAATGAGAGAACTATTTTTTTGGGGAAAATAACTTTACATTTAGTTGAATAAAAAGTTGGGTTCCAGCCAAATTCGGAAAAATAAAAAACATTGGTTGACTGTACATAGCATCGTTGAAATACTGAGGTCCAAATTTGTCATAATATGCACTGGATCATTACAATCTTCAGAAGTCAGACCAAACGCTTAACCCAAGGTCCAGAGAACTGTGACTCCTTCCCCAGAGCGTGTCCCTCATGCTCCTACCTGCAGCCAATGCCACCACTGACCATATGGTTGCAACACGTCACGCAACCCAGTGAGGGAAGGATGCGAGGATGAGACGTTCTTTATTTCCCTTGTTACATCTGTAGTACCCTCGGTTACAAATATACAGTGGGGCAAAAAAGTATTTAGTCAGACACCGATTGTGCACATTCGCCCACTTAAAATAATGACAGAGGTCTGTAATTTTCATCACAGGTACACTTCAACGGTGAGAGACAGAATGTGAAGAAAAAAAATCCAGGAATTCACATTGTAGGATTTTTAAAGAATTTATTTGTAAATTATGGTGGAAAATAAGTATTTGGTCACTTCAAACAGGGAAGATCTCTGGCTCTCACAGACCTGTAACTTCTTTTAAGAAGATCTTCTGTCCTCCACTTGTTACCTGTATTAATGGCACCTGTTTGAACTCGTTATCTATAAAAGACACCTGTCCACAGCCTCAAACGGTCAGACTCCAAACTCCACTATGGCCAAGACCAAAGAGCTGTCGAAGGACACCAGGAAAAGAATTGTAGACCTGCACCAGACTGGGAAGAGTGAATCTACAATTGGCAAGCAGCTTGGTGTGAACAAATCAACTGTGGGAGCAATTATCAGAAAATGGAAGACCACTGATAATCTCCCTCGATCTGGGGCTCCACACAAGATCTCATC